CTTTTCGTCCCTCCCTTGTCATACCCAAAAGAGAAAGGATCTTGGTATAAAAGGGCAGCCTACAATAGGCACCTGCTTTCGGGAGCAAGGCTGTCATTTCAGCTGAGGTTGGTCATAGGCACAGCAGGGGGAGCCCCTGGGAGTATAAAAGGAAGCTGAGCTCTGGATGCCTCTCTATGGGTTTCATCATCATCTGCCTGTGATGCTGAATCAACAGGAGCCAGTGGTGAGGAGGTAGAAGAATGGAGCAGAGGGTGGAGACACTAGGAAGACAGCGTCCCGGGGAATGGGCCTTGCCCCCTTTTGAAAGGTTGGGGCCCTGACTGGGGAAGAACATGAGTAGGCCCTAGGTAGAGCAGCATAGCCTTCTCTGTGTGTCCTTTCTCCCCTTAGCTCCAGGCCCCACACAACAGAGCACACATCTTATCTCCCCTCCTCCTCTTCAGAATACCAAACATTATGAGCTGTTAAACTACAGTGAGCACGGGACAACGGTGGACAACGTGCTGTATTCCTGTGACTTCTCTGAGAAGACCCCACCAACTCCCCCAAGCAGTATTGTTGCCAAAGTGCAGAGTGTCATCAGTAAGTTGGAGCAGAGGTCTGTGGTCACAAAGCTGAGGCCTCCGTTACAGTGGTTCCGCCATGCTGCCCATGACCTGTAGTCTCTGCTTCCCAGTCCCACTGGCCAGGCTGTCCTTGCTCATGGGCTCAGGGGAGGCCACAGAAGCAAGTGCTGAGCAACTGCATGTGTATGTAATACAGACATCTTGGGGGACTTGAGGCTCCACCAGCCCTTGCCAAGTGTCCCTTACCTCTACTCATGTAGCAGTTGGAATGAGAGTTATGGGGGGCTGGCCCTGGCTAGCAGTCTAGAGGGTCAGCTCACTGGTCCTCCTGTGACCATCTCTTTCTGTTTTTTGTTTTTTCCTTTCTCCAGGGCGCTGCCGACATCAGAAACAAGATGAAGAGCCAAGTGAGGAGGTAGCCATGATGAGTTCCCAGGCCCAGGGGCCGCAGCGGAGACCTTGCAATTGCAAAGCCAGCAGCTCAAGCTTGATTGGGGGCAGTGGGGCCGGCTGGGAGGGCACGGCCTTACTGCACCACGGCAGCTACATCAAGCTGGGCTGCCTGCAGTTTGTCTTCAGCATCACTGAGTTTGCGACCAAACAGCCCAAAGGCGATGCCAGCCTGCTGCAGGATGGGGTCTTGGCCGAGAAGCTCTCTCTGAAGCCCCACCAGGGCCCTGTGCTGCGCTCCAACTCCGTTCCCTAGGGCCGGTGGCCACCCTGCTGCCAGCCTATATACCCGCCTAAGACTCCTGCAATGCAAAAATGTACACAAACCAAGCCTGGGTGTTTTCTATACTCTACCAGAAATCCTTCAACTACAATCTTTGCATGAAATGAAGAAAACTTTTGACTGTTTTTTAAAAATCCTTTTTTCTTTTCTCAAGTTCTAGGGGGCATTTGCACATATATTTGTACTCAACATTTCATGGGAAAGCGGCAGACCCGAGCTGAGGAACAGCGTGGCAGGGAAGGGAAGACCTGTGGTCTGGACTCTTCTTCCAACACAAGCCCTTCCCCCCACTCCTGCTCCCCCCCCTCGCCCGCCGTTGTAAAATAATCAGAAACTTGTTCTATTTTGTGGCAGTGACAATAGTTTTATATTAAAAGAAAAAATACAGTTTTCATACAGCAAAATCTATACAATATCATTGTTTTATTTAATATAAAGATCGCTACCCACCCTCTCTCCATGGTTCCCGCCCTCCAAGTTACTCCCTTTCTGCAGCAGTTGCACTATAGGTAGCTACTGTGTATTATGGACAAATAAGAAATGAATTCTTTTTCTGGCTGTCCATCTATTTTATTTCAAATAAGGAAAAGTGTATTTGGATTTTGTGTAAATACATCTAGTGATGACATTTTTTCAATGTTTTTAAAAACTGTGTACAGTACTACATGTGTTAGAGCGTTTTCTCAAATTGTCTATTGTAGCAAAAATGTTTTGTCGTAAACCTGTTTCGTCTCCTTTTTTTGTTCTCTTGCCACTTTCTCCTCTTCCTCCCCAGCTCCCTCCTCTCCTCCCAACCCTACAACTAGTACCAATGTACATAGTAATTGTAATGTTTTAGACTTTACAGAAACTTTCCTGTATTCTGTATATAAAAAAAAAATACTTCAAATTATGTTTTCTGCCTGTCTGTCCTGCCTGTCATCACCCTCAGAGGGGGCCCTTCTTGTGCTCTGGGTCCAACCATTGGGGGACCCTTTGAAGAGGGTAAGAGGTCTTACTCCCAGGAACTCGGTTCCCGAGTGTGGGTTAGGGAATAGAATGTTGGAGACAAGTGAGCCTATGTGGTGTGCAGGGCAGAAGAGTACTGTTTGTCTGGAGAACACCAATGTAGTGAACTCTGATCACTGTCCTAACCGTGCCCCTTCTAGTTACATGACATGAAATCACAACTGCCAATCCATCGGAAGACAAACCTGCCCTTCCTTAATTCGAAAGCCCTAGGACGCCCATTCAACCAGACTCCCCACTTCTAGGTTTTGAAGTTCTGAGTATAGTCTCTAGCTCTAGAGAACACTTACGAGTATTCTAGCACTATTTCCCCCACACTACTGGGGACCTACCTCAGCCTTATGCAGGCTGACAAAGTCTTGGACATAAGTTCCAACTCCTATCTCAGCCTCTGAAGTAGCTGGCTTGAAATGTGGGCCCCATTCTGGGTTCTAGTATTGTTTGAGTAGGTAGTACACAGTTGTGAATTAGGATTTTGCTTTGGGGTTAAAGAATGAATATTCCGGGGCTGGGGATTTAGCTCAGCGGCATAAGCGCCTGCCTTGCAAGCAGGCAGTCGTGAGTTCGATCCCTGGTACCGATAAAAACGAAAAACAAAAATCTGAAGAATGTATATTCCACCGGTATTTGTAATTGTACTGGGGCCCACAGGGTGCCCCACTTACCCATCTTCCATCTCCAGTCTACCTCAGTGTTTCCAAGTGCTCACATTGCTGGAAACCCCCATAAGTGCCAAATTACACTAGCTTTCTCTCTTTTTTTTTTTTTTTTTTTGTCTCTTTTGTTTTTACCGGTACCAGGGATGAACTCACGACTGCCTGCTTACAAAGCAGGCACTTATGCCGCTGAGCTAAATCCCCAGCCCTACACTAGCTTTCTCAAGCAAGGACATGCCACATGCACCTGCCTAGATGTGCCCTTATGCATGCCTCCCAGGCTGTCCCTGCCTATTTCATCGTCACACTTTTTCCATTGAGGAAGAGTCTACCTTCTACCAAGAACCAGTCTAGAAACAAACTTCCTCCTGAAAAGCAGTAGAAGCTTTGTCAGAAATGGTGGTGATGACCAGGTATGGCGACACACTCCTGTAATCCCAGCACTCAGAGGCTGAGTCAGAAGGATCCCCATGAGTTCCAACCCAGCTTGTACTACATAGCTAGACCCTGTCTCAAAAAAGGTGGTGGCTCATGCCTATAATCCCAGCACTCGGAGGGCCGAGACAGGAGGGTCATTGCGAGTTCCAGACCAGCCTGGGCTACGAAGTGAGCTCAAGCCCTGAACTGCATAGCGAAATCCTGTCTCAAAAAGACAAAATATATATATATAAAATATATAAAAGTGACAGGACAGTGGAGGGAATGACCGTAAATCCTGATAGCCTTAACCCCTGTCGCCTTGGGTGCTGTCACATCTCGGTCCTGTATAGGTAGAATAGAGAAGAATCCTGAAGGCTGCATGTGAAAATGAAAAATTGAAGGATTTGTTCATTGGATAAGGCCTTTTTTTCTTTTTCATTTTTATCGGTACTGGGGCTCGAACTCACGACGGTCTACTTACAAGGCAGGTGCTTATGCCGCTGAGCTAAATCCCCAGCCCCCTGGATAAGGCCTCTTAATGATACAGGGGAATGAAACTCCCGACCTACTGTATCCGGTACGAGTTCGTGTTCTCTAAAATCAAAGAATGAATTTTAGGAACAACGGAGGTTAAGAGTAGAATATATTTATTGAGAAGAAGAACTCTTCTGTCTGAGAGACAGAAGAGGTCCCCAGCCGGTTGCCAAGGACCCTTTTTTTTTTTTTTTTTTTTTTTTTTTTTAGGGACTTTTATAAAACAATCATGGGGTGAGACGGGTTCAAGACGGAACTCCCAAAGCAGATGGGCATAAGGTGGGACATAACTATAGTTAGCCAATAAAATCAGGTAAAATTGATTAGGACAAATGGGAAAGCCAGTCACGTAGAAAGCGGACATTCAGGGACTCTTCCCTAGAGGGTTGGAATGGCGACTCCTGGCTTCCTCAGGGTGATAGGGAACTATTTAGAATATCAGTCCTCAGGATGTGGGTACATTTGTTTGATCTTTTGTCTTGAGGCCTGGCCCACAGCAGGAGATGTCCGCTCTCCCTCCCCGCAGTTGCCAAGAATCTGAGTTTAGGCACTGGCTCCTTTGAGGACTTAGCTCTGCCTCGCTGCCTATTTCTAACTCAGCTGCCTGCAACATAAGGACTGAACTGAAAGACACAAGCTCATTCATATATACTCCTCTCCAGAAGGGAGGAACTCTGCTACAGACTCACACCTACGATGTGATGTTCATTCAGCACAGGCGTTGGCGGAAACTCAGATGCATGCACACGTCTGGAGAGACTACCGCCAGAATGGGCACAGACACCTACGAGGTGCTTACCCGGGCACACACACACACAATCCAGAAACATGCACAACGCAGTGGGTGACCCAACAGCCATTCGCACACATATGGACGATGCAGATGCACGCACAGACTTAGCCCGCATTCCCGCGGGCCCAGGGCGCACAGGGCCCCTAGGGTGGAGGGAGTTCCCACAGGCATACGCCTGGGGGCGCTCCCAGGGCGCAGACGCACCTACTCACCTCACAGGTGTTCCAACAGGCACATCGCCAGAGGACGCAGACGCACGCCTAGAGGGCGCTGCAGGGCCCACACGCACAGGCACGCACATACACCCGTCCGCCTCCGCCTTGGCAAGAGAGGCCGAAGCGCGCGGCGCCCTTCCAGGCCTGTACGAGGCGGGGTGGAAACCGTTGCGCGGCGATCCAAGGCGGCTCCGGGCTTGAGCCGGAGCCGGGAGGCTCTGCGCCATGGAGGCGCTGCTGCTGGGCACGGGGTTGTTGCTGGGTGCCTACGTACTCATCTACTACAACCTGGTGAAGGCCCCGCAGTGCGGCGGCATTGGCAGCCTGCGGGGCCGTACGGCTGTAGTCACGGGTGAGTGCGACCGTGCACGCGTGCAGGAGGGCGCGGGAGGCCGGGCGGCGGTCCCCGGGCTCAGTTGGTTCCCGCCCACTTCCTGGCAGGCGCCAACAGCGGCATAGGCAAGATGACAGCACTGGAGCTGGCGCGCCGGGGAGCGCGGGTGGTGTTGGCCTGCCGCAGCCGGGAACGTGGGGAGGCTGCCGCCTTTGACCTTCGCCAGGTAAGAAAAAGCGGGGACGGGAACGAGGGACACACAGAGGGGCAAGACACTCGGGAATCCAGTTTCTGAGAGGAGTAAGCAGCTCGGTGCATGGAATGCTCTTGTCCCATTGGGAAAAGATACCAGAAGGAAGTTGGGGAGGAGGCCTCCAGCAGATAGGAATTGCTGATCTAAAACATTTAAAGATCAGTAGGCCTTAGTTAAGCAGAGTAGCAGGAAAGGGAACAACATATGCAAAGGTCCTGAGGTTAGAGTGATTTTTAAGAAACTAAAGGGAAAAAAAAGTTGAGTCTTAAGCACAAGAAAACTGTAAGATTGGGAAAGTGAAGAGGCTTTGAGCCAGGGCCAGGTTCATTAAAGATATCATTGAGGAGCTTGGGCTTTATAGAATGGGGAGGGAGATCAGGAAGAGGTCCTTAGGGCAGTCTAGCCTGTAAGAATAACCTTTTGGAATGAAGCCTTTGTGGCTGTGTTGTGCCTGGACTGAAGGAAGAAAGAGTGGGTGAGAGGAGACCAATGAAAAGTCGATTATACGGGCTGGGGATTTAGCTCAGCGGCATAAACACCTGCCTTGAAAGCAGGCAGTCGTGAGTTGGATCCCTGGTACTGATAAAAAAGAAAATAGAAAAGTCTATTATAGATTTTAGGGCGATAATGGGGAGAGGGGATACTAATAATAATAGCAAATACCTACCCAGTACTAACTGCAGGTTTTTACATGCATCAATTCAATGCTCACAACAATCCTATGAGATAGGGACCACAGTACTGTTATTCCCATTTTACAGTGAGAAAACCTGTAGCATAGAGCAGTTAAATATCCTCTCCAAAGTCAGAATTGGAAGCTGTTATTCATTCCACTCAAACGCGCAGAGGCAGGTTTCAGTAACAGTAAGAAGTGGACTCTCAAAACTGTGTCCCTGGGAAGAGGGAGGAGGAGAGAGGTGCATGGTGACAATCCCAGCCCTTGCTGCTCTACAGGACAGTGGGAACAATGAGGTGATCTTCATGGCCTTGGACTTGGCCAGCTTGGCATCTGTGCGGGCCTTTGCTGCTGCCTTCCTGAGCTCAGAACCTCGGCTGGACATCCTCATCCACAATGCCGGTGAGGGGCGGAGGCCTGTGGTGGGGCGAAGGGCACCAGGGCCAGGAGACACATGGGAAGGCTCCCCCTACTCCCTTCTCACAGGTGGGGATGCTGTAACCTTCGGGGCTCCTTCCTGAGCAGTGACTGACACTTAGCCTCTGCCCCAGGGATCAGTTCCTGTGGCCGGACCCGAGAGGCCTTTAACCTTCTGCTTCGGGTAAACCACGTGGGCCCCTTCCTGCTGACACATCTGCTGCTGCCCCGCCTGAAGACATGCACCCCCAGCCGTGTGGTTGTGGTATCTTCAGCTGCCCATCGACGTGGGCGCCTCGACTTCACTCGCCTAGACCGACCGGTGGTGGGCTGGCAGCAGGAGCTGCGGGCATATGCTGACAGCAAGCTGGCCAATGTGTTGTTTATCCGAGAGCTCGCCACCCGGCTGGAGGGCACTGGTGTCACCTGCTATGCAGCCCACCCAGGTAAGGCTTGGCTGTTTGCTCCTCCTTATTCCCCCATCCATTGCTCTCACGGCCTATCACTGAGTGAAAGGGTCTCAGAGCAGGAAGGAGGCATGGTCCTCGCTGATCTTGGTACTAGGCTCTGCTCATCTTCCTGCCCCACTTGTATGCTGACCACTGAGAGCGGTATGGCAAGAATGAGACCTGGGTCCTCTCCTCACACATCCATTACTCATGCATAGAGCGTTTACTGAGTAACTACTGCTAGGCATTATTCATGGTGTTAGGGTTATAATGATAAAACAAAGGCTGACCCCGGGGTGTGCCTCAGTGGGGGAGCTTGTGCTTAGCATGCAGAAGGCCTGGAGTTCAACCCCCAGCATGCACGCCCATGTGCACACGCACACACGCATACAAAAAAAATATAAGGGCCTTCTCATAAAGTCTGCATTCTACCTTGGAACAATGACACGCGGTAATAACTTTGGGGAAAGATAAAACAGGTTAAGGGGAGTTTGAAATGCCAGGAGATACTATTTTATAAGTGGCAAATGTGACATCTGCAAGTCTGCAAATGTGACATCTGAACAGAGCCCTGAAGGAGATGAAGGGTGAGACAAGTGTCTTTCTGGAAAGAAGCTCAAAAAGAGCAGGGAGCAAATAGCAAGGCTTGTATGACTAGAACAGAGTAAGGGGAAGAGTGGGAAGCAATGAACTTGCAGAAATGGGCTAGGTCAGTGTGTCGGAAGGTTTGCTTTAACCATTTTGGCGTTTACCCTGAGACAATGGATAGACTCATCCTTGCCTCCGGAAATATATTACACCAGGACAGCAAGCTCTGCCCTTCTCATGTTATCATACTGCATTTTACATAATCATTGCATAAAACTCAGAATAGTGATAATAATACTCACAACTAATCTTTTTTGTGTTGGTTTGGTTTTTTGAGACAGGGTCTTGCTATGTAGTGTAGGTTGGCCTTGAGCTTGCTTATGTAGCCCAGGCTGGCCTTGAATTTGTAAGCCTCCTGCCTCTGCCTCCTGAGTGCTGGGATTACAAACGTGCACTACCACGCCCTGCCACAGCTAACCTTTATTAAGCTATTATTTCAATTTCACGTTCCTAACATCCAAAACATTTTCTAATATTCCATAGGTTCTTCTTGTTGTTGTTTTGAGAGAGACTATAGCTTTGTAGGTCAGACTGGCCTTAAACTCAAGATCGTCTTGCCTCAGCCTCCTAAGTGCTGGGATTACAGGTGTATACTGTACCACATTGCCCAGCCCACCATATGTTCTTATCTTTCTTCCTTGTTTCTTTCTTGTGTTCTGTTTTGTTTTTATTTTGGGATGTTTTGTTTTGTGTGTGTGTATGGTACTATGACTTGAACTTAGAGCTTCACACTGAGCTCCCTTCCCACCCCTTTTTTACTGTCCTATTTTGAGATGGAGTATATTCATCTCAGATGCCCATTTTTGGAGACAGGGTCTTGGGAAAGTACCCGAGCTGGGCTCAAACTTCCCATCCTCCTGCCTCAGCCTCCCAGAGTACTGGGACTATCTATATGCATGCCCCATCATGCCTGGCTCCACACAGCTCTTTTTAGTCTGTTTGAGACAGGGTCTCTTTGTACAGTTCAGGCTGGCCTTGAGCTCACTTTGTAGCCCAGGCTGGTCTCAAACTTGTAACAATCCTTTTGCCTCAGCCTCCCGAGTGCTGGGATTACAGGCGTACACCACCACAGCTGGCCTTCCACATAGCTTCTTAATACTGGTTAAACAAAGGAATAGTGTTCAAGCTACAAGAAAAATGGTGATTGGGAAACAAGGGACACAATGTTATCAAAAGCTGGGAGATGAGGCTATACAAGCAGTTTGGATAGAGGGGAAGAGGATTCCTGCAGAAAATGAACGAAGTCAGCTTGAGGGGAACCTGGATGGCTGTTAGGTAATTTCTGGTTTCTCTGGAGCCAGATTCCGTCACTCATTCCCCTGCTAGCTTTATTTCTAATCCGTATTTCCTGGGCCTCACCCACCATCTCCCCACTTCCATTTTTTCTTCATATCCATAGGACCTGTGAACTCGGAGCTGTTCCTGCGCCATGTTCCTGGATGGCTGCGCCCACTATTGTGCCCACTGGCTTGGCTGGTGCTCCGAACACCCAAAGGGGGTGCCCAGACACCGCTGTACTGTGCACTACAAGAGAGCATTGAGCCCTTCAGTGGGAGATATTTTGCCAACTGCCATGTGGAAGAAGTGCCCCCAGCTGCCCGAGATGACCGAGTAGCCCACCGGCTATGGGAGGCCAGCATGAAGCTAGCAGGCCTTGGGGCTGAGGAAGAAGATGAGCCTGATGAAGAACCCCATCTAGAAGACCTAAGGACCCTGTCTGCACTGAGCACTCCTAACCCCAAGGAGCTCACAGTTTCTGAACCCTCATCCCCTGGCCCTCAGAGATCACCAGACTTTTCTAAGGTGACCCGTCGAATTCAAGTGAAAGCTGAGCCTGAGCCCCAAGTCTCCTAACCCCCAGGCCAGGATGCTTTTTGTGGCACTCCTTGACCCCTAGAAATCACAGCTCTGTATCAGGCCATGCCATAGGCACTGAAGGCTTTGCCATGTTTACCTCTATGGTTACTTTCTGGGGGCTCTGGGTGTGTCCTAGAAGGAAATATTTCTGAGAGGGACAGATACTTCTGATTCAGGAGTGGAGAGTAACTTGCTTCTGGGGAATTTGAATTTCAGCTTTTCAGGCCCAACCCTGGGCGATTCAGATTAGATCTGGGGCAGAGCCAAGGGATTTTGTGATTTGATGCACTGCCAACACTGAGAAGGTCTGAACTGAGCCCTCTGCAACAATCTTAGATAGTTGCCCCATTTTGGCCGGGCATGGTGGTGCCCGCCTCTGATCCCATCAGCTTATAGAAGCTGAAGCAGAAGGATCGCCGAGTTTGAAGTCATCCTGAGCTATGCAGGGAGACCTTGGCTCCAAAAAAGTTACCCCAGTTTTACAGAGCTGGGATAAGGTCTGCAGGAAAAGTCTTGCCCAAGGACTAAATCAATAAAACCGGGACTGCAATTTGAGCCCTGAGTCTATCACCAGGACTCACTGCTGTAAGGTGGGCGTCCCGAGGTGGGGCGGGACAGTGGTTTCCGAGGTGTCCCAAGGAAGTAGGGAGGTGCTCTCCCTGGTGCCTTTAGGGTGGAGTCCCCTGTAATAAATTGGGTTGACACTTAGGGCTCGCGCTGTCTCCTGCCTCTCTCAACATGCCGGCCCCGCCCTCCGTCGCCACACTTCCGGCGGGGCTGCGACCACAGAGGGGCGCTGGGGGTGGCGGGATAGGCTGGGTGCGGCCGGCGCTGCGGACGGGCTGCTGCTGTGTGGTCGGTGCAGCGAGAGCGCTGTGTCCCCCCCGGCACCATGGGCAACTGCCACACGGTAGGGCCCAACGAGGCGCTGGTGGTTTCAGGTAAGGGAGCGGCAAGGGAGGTGGGTCCTGGGGTGCCGGAGCAGGCGCGGGGCGGAGACCGAAGGGCAGGGCCGGCAAAGGGCTGCAGGGTTGGGGGCCATGGTCGGTGCACCGCGTGTCGGGGCTGGGTCTCCAGCAACTCCCGGACACACCTGAGACCTCTCATTAGAGAGACCCCCGTACACCCCGCTGTGCAGGCTCCAGCCGTCGGGCACCCAGCAGCGGCTCCTCCTCCCTCTGCGTTTCTTCCTGTGTTTATTCCTTCCTTGCTCCCTAGCCAGGGCCTCCCCGGTGTAGTACGCCGCCATGGGCTTGGGGTCACGCACGGGAGCCTTGGAATTCCGGGTGGGAGGGGACCAGTGTTTCCTTGGAACACGGTAGTTTGGCGGGTTTCCAGCGCCCAGAACTGGGGGTGGTTCGGCAAGCTCTAGAGGGCAGGTGTCTACACGGAGAGATGTTCAGAGACCTGGGTTGTTTCCCGTGCACGGTCAGACCCGTTAGTTCCGAGCAAGCTGGAGCTTGCTGGGGTTACTGGCATCGCCCGCCCTGAAAATGTGGGTGCGGCCTCTACAGGTTGGGAAACCCTGCTCTGGCCTGTGCCACTATGGATTGCAAAATGCTGCAAGCTCCAGAGCGTCTGTCTAGGTGGAGCCTGGGTACTGCAGCCCTGGGAACAAGTGGGCATCTCGCTGTAAGACTGCTGTTTACATTCGTGTATTTGGGATGTCTCAGGAGGTAGCATAAAGCGTGTCAAGCCCCCAGAATGTGCAGTTCCTGGCCACAAAGAGTAGGGAAACAGTGTCGTTCCCTGACAGCTTGGAACCCTGCAGCTGTAGGAATCCCTAGCGACCATAATCAGCGCTGATTTTCAGCGCGTGCAGAGCAAGTAGAAACCTTGAACCAGAAATTGTAGCTTCCCACTCCCTTCTCGAGATAAAGACATTGGGAAGCTTCACCCCAAAACATAGCCTTAGGCTCAGTTTAGATCTCAGAACCAGTCTCTTCACAATCCAGAACTCAGCTCCTCTGAGAGAGGTAAGATTCCCCACAGACAGACACACACCCCTGAGGACCAGAGACAGCCTTGGACCAGAAAAGCCCCCCAGAAAACACTAAGGCCAGCCTGCTCCTCAGTAAGATCCAGTCCTGTCTCCCAGCCTCTGCCCTTAGAGAAACCAGAGTTTACACTGACCCTTTCATGTGGGATTTCTTTCAGGAAGCCCATACTCCAGATTGAAGGAACAAAACTTCCATTCTTACCCAGTGGGTAATCTTGAGTGTATAACGTGATAGGAATCTCTAACATAGGCTGCTCTTTACCTTCCATTTACTAGGAATCATTGGTGAGTGCCACCTGGGGGGCTATTTTGGGAATGAGGAGAAACCTTGCTAACAGCAAGGGGTGCTCCAGTCAAAGGAGGGAGAGAAAAAAGGAAGGATAATGCCTGGCCTAATGGTATGCTGGGATTTGAGCCAACCACGCAGAGATGCAGGTCTGTTTTACCTATAATCTCCCTCCCAGGATAGCTCAGCAGCTACTCCTCAGCCCTGCCCACTTTGGTCTCCTGTCCTCTTAAACCTGCAGCTAAGCCCGGAAGGATCTCCTTCAGTCTAGTTTCGGTAGTATGTTGTCGTATTGCATGGTTATCTTTTCTTTCTTTCTTTTTTTTTTTTTTTTTTTTTTTCTTGTTTTTGTTTGTTTTGTTTTTGAGACAGAGTCTCAATAAGTAGCTCAGGCTGGCCTCAATCTTGCAGCAATCCTCCTGCCTCAGTCTCCCTACTGCTGGGCTTATAGACTTGCACCACCATACCCGGCTACATTTATGAACATTTTGAGGAGAGATCTTTAGGCTTTGTTGGACTTCTAACAGGATTTGTGCTCATAACAGGCTAAACCAGCAAGACGTAGAGATAAATGTCTATAATACCAACACTCTGGGAGGCTGAAACAGGAAGATCATCAGTAACAAAAAGGAGAGAGGATGTAGTAGCGCAGTGTAAACACCCTAAATTCAATCATTAGTTTAAAGGGGGCGGGGGGGGGGGAGGAATGGTTCAAGAACGTACCTCAGCAGCGTAAGTGCCTGCCTGGATATCACAAGGTTGTGAGTTAAATCCCCAGTACCAAAAATAAATAAATAGAGTGGAGGGGTATGATACGGTCTTCCTTTCCAGTAGGTAGAAGATGAGACACAGAAGGGAAGAGAGATCTGGAAAAAGCAATAATGGGCTTTGTCTTTGGAGGAACGAAGAGGGTAAACCAGAGGTTCTCCCCAGGTATTTTGTATTGTTGTAGTTTGAGTAAAGACAGAGCAGGGGAAAGCAACCTGGGTTTGAAAAGGTGAGATAAAATCAGACATAGTGGCACACAGCATTCAGACGGCTGAGACGGGAGAATTGCTGTGAGTTTGAGGCTGGCCTGAGCTATATAGTGAAACCCTGTCTCAAGAAAAAAATAAAATAAAAAGGATACAGTGAGATAAAATTAAGAGAAGCTTATAGATCTCAAAATGAGTGAAAGTTAGGAAGGTCAAAAAGTGGTCAGATTGTCCCCTTAGTGGGTAGTGGCTGAGTGATCAGGAAGTTTTGAAGAAAAAGCACTCTGGGGGAGGAGCTTGCTGGAACCGAGGCACTGGTCAGTCCCTGCTTCCTGTTGCTGCCCCTGGATCCTGGCTTGTTGCCCTTGGCTGGGGCCTAACTTGAGCTCTGGCAGCCTGCTCCCAAGGTCAGAGGCTAAGTGAAGGTGCCCAGAACTCCCTCTTCTACCTCTGTCTCCCATAATACATTGAGAAGTCCTGGGGCAGGCCGGAGACAGCTATGCCCGAGCCTTCACCAGGACAGAAGATGTGAAATAAACTGTAGTTTTGGGGCTCTTTCCAGTTTCACTTAATCCCAAAATGGCTTCGGTTTCAGAATGACTGCCTGTCCTCAGGGACCTCTCTTACAACACCTCCCAGAACAGAGAAGCCTGAAAAGCTTACCTTAGGGCTGGGGATTTAGCTCAGCAGAGTGAGTGCCTGGCAAGTGCGAGGTCATGAGTTTGATCCCCAGTACCAAAAAACAAATGAAAAAAAGCCTCCCCTGAACAGGAGCCCTGTGCATAGGGATTTCAGCCCCAGAGAACGAGCGTCCACACTAAGATGTTCATTGATTTTGATCTTGGACCTGTGGTATGGCTACAAGTTGATTATCCCTCATCAGAAATGCTTGGGACCAAAAGTGTTTTAAATTTCAGGGTTTTTTGTACTTTCGAATATTATACATAATGAGCTATCTTTACATAAACATAATGAGATGATTTAGGGATAAGACCAAAATCCGAATGTTAAATTTGTTTCACGTACATATTACACACACAGTCTGAAAGTGATTTTATACAGTAGTTTTGTATGGCAGCATTTTGACTGCAACTATTCACATGAGGTCAGGTGTGGAACTGTCTAACTGTACCATCATGGTGACACTCAGAAGTTTCATTTTGGCTGGGTGTGGTGGTTATATACCTGTACGTAGGAGGCTGAGGCAGGAGGATCATGAGTTCAAGGCCAGCAGAGACAACTTAGTGAAATCCTGTCTCGAGTAAAAAGGGCTGGGGATGTAGCTCAGTGGTAGAGCTCCCTGGGCTCAGCCTCCAGTGCCGCAAAAATAAAGGTTTGATTTTGGAGTGATTCAGATTTGAGATTTTTAGATTAGGAGTGTTCAACCTGTATTAACACAGGGGCAGATCCAGGAAACTAAGTTGGCTGCCCATGAGAGTCTGTTTTTGTTTTGTACCGGGGATTAAACTTACAACCTCGAGCCTGCCAGGCAGGCGCTTATGCCACTGGGCTAAATCTTTGGCCCCCTGTGGCAGCTTTCCAAGTTTAGAAGCCCCATCTAAGCCAGTCAAGGTAGTGCACACCTTATCCTAGTACTCATTCAGCAGGCTGAAGCAGGTGGATTGCTGTAAGTTCGAGACCAGCCTGGGCTACAAAGTGAGTTCAAGATCAGACTGAACTGCATAATAAGTCTCAAAAAGACAAAAAGACAAAAAAAAAAAAAAAAAGCCCTACCCTTGCCTGACACATACAAGGTCCTAAGTTTGATTCCCAGTATTTAAAAAAAAAGACCAAAAAGACCAAGGGCTGGGGATTTAGCTCAGCGGCATATGCACCTGCCTGGCAAGCACAAGGTCCTAAGTTCAAGCCCCAATACCAAAAGAAAAAAAAAAGGTCTATCTATTAGAGAAATGGGAGTAGAAAGGTCTTTGTCCCTTTGCTTCAGCAAACCAAGACCTCAGTTCTCCATTCTTGTGACATTGTCTGTTGCAGTCATTGATCTCACCATTACCCAAACCCAGACTCTAGAAATGCATTGTCCAATGTGGTAGCTGCCCCAGCACGGGAAGCTGAGGCAGGAGAGTCACTGTGAGTTCAAGGCCAGCCTGGGCTACCCAGTGAGTTCAAGGTCAGCCTAGATTACATAGCAAGACCCTGTCTCCAAAAAAATAAACAAACCCACCAGCCGAGGGACACCCATGTAATGCTAGCAGATTGGACAGGAAGATGGTAAATTCAAGCTCAGCCTAGGCAATTCAGCAAGATCTTGTTCCAAAATAAAAAGTTAAGGGCTGGGATATAGCTGAGTATGAAGCCCTGGGTTCAATCTCAGTAACCTAAAACTTAATTAATTAATGTAATTAAAATGTATTGGCAGGGAGGTCAGAGAAGAAGCATCCTGTAATCTGAGCTCTCGGGAGACTAAGGCAGAAGATCACAAGTTCAAGGC